ATGCTGCTCAAGACTGGCAAACAGGCAAAGGCAAAGAAATTATAGGACCACAGGCTGTCAGAGGAATACATGGGTTAGATTGATCGTTGGCATACAGTTGTCGATACCTTAATTTGGCCGCTCTGATTTTGGCACAAGTCGAGGAAACACGGCGGCTCAAATATAATATCATCGACTTGAGGGGAGCGGAACGGAAAAAATCGTTGTGATGCAAGTGGACCGGGGAAAGAACAGTCCTTCGGGAGGTCGTTAAATTAGCTCAAGCTGAAGAGGCGTTGGCTTCATTGTAATATCACCAGGCTTTGCAAAGCGAGCTCGCAGCTTAATATCTTCTCCATCACTTCAGGAATATTAGTGGATGTCAACCTTCGAGCTGTTCCCAAGGCATTCTGAACAACATTCCTCTTCATAAAAAGAGGGTGGCAGCTTCTCGCATGAATAAGTATGTTCTTCGAAGCAGATTTTTTATGCCACATGGAGAGTATATGACCTCCGGATAGTTTCACTTTTGTGTTCAAGAACGGAAGGAAACCATCCTGTTCAGGATCCTCAGTAGTCAGTGTTATATTCGGATGCGCTGAATTCAGCCTCGTGAAGGTTCGACGTAGCTGTTCTGGACTTGGCAACAACGATAGTATTCTTGCGATAGTATTCATGGACCGCTTGGAAAGACGCTTCCTATCATCGGGATTGCTGTTCTACGGTCGTTACATAGACGATATATTCGTTGTTGCCAAGTCCAGAACAGCACTACGTCGAACCTTCACGAGGCTGAATTCAGCGCATCCGAATATAACACTGACTACTGAGGATCCTGAACAGGATGGTTTCCTTCCGTTCTTGAACACAAAAGTGAAACTATCCGGAGGTCATATACTCTCCATGTGGCATAAAAATCTGCTTCGAAGAACATACTTATTCATGCGAGAAGCTGCCACCCTCTTTTTATGAAGAGGAATGTTGTTCAGAATGCCTTGGGAACAGCTCGAAGGTTGACGTCCACTAATATTCCTGAAGTGATGGAGAAGATGGCGAGCATACTCCTCGACAATGGCTACGGAAACGGACAAGTGCATTGTTGGCGTCCATACCAGGCTCCAGGAGGCATCCCACTGATAGTTCCTTACATGTCCGACTCCTTTGCGAGAGATGTAAACCGCGTGGTAAGGACATCTGGGATGCCAATTCGCCTAATATTTCGTCCCTCCGGATCCGGAGAATCCCTTCTCAAGGCACCGTTCTTATCGCGCCAATACAAATGAACCGCGGCTCCTGAAATCAAAGGTGCGCGTGATCCACAGGAATATAAGTGACCCGGTGGAGAGGAAAATCAAGGAAGCACTAGAGATTCGGAGGAGGAATCCACCCATCAACAACAGGGAGGAGCTCAGAAGAACAATGGAAGTCATTCTTGGATAGTGATAAGAAAGGATGGTTGCGGAATGATGGCAGGACTGATGCTACGTGACAACTGGCAAGAAGTAGTGTGTATCTTATTGTCACCTCCATAGCACTGCATCACCGACCGAACTGCTCCATTTCTAACGAAGTGGACAGCGAGGGAGGTGAATCTCGTGCAGCTCCCTCTGACCATTCAACGTCTATTTCCAGCAACCCGTTGAGCTTGCATCCCCTCCGTTCCAAGGTCAGTCCTTGACTAGGAATGCAATGTATATAGTTTAAAGAAACCTGAAGAAGGGTTTATAAACCCGAAAGTGTCAAATAAATCTAAATAGTTTTCTTCAATCTGCTACACAGAAGAGTTATTCAATGAAGATCAGGAATCGTCAAATACTACTGTTACGACCGTTAGCAGATTTCTTAAGAGAAGACTGGAAAAACGTAATGAAGGATCCCTTGTGAGTGTCACTGGACTTTGTGGACGTCACTGGCCCTCGCTCGAGGTTGCAGGCGATTCTTTTGATTCAGGTTGTTGAGGCAGAAGAATGCATGGCTTTTCAAGACAAAACAGCTAAAGATCACGCCATAGTAAAATTATGGATTCCATCGGACAGGAACGGACATATTTCTTCTTTTTGATTATTTTGATGTTCGCGAAAAAGAGAGACAAATAGCTTAAATAATACCTATGAAGTGAACGGCGGCTTGTCCAAGAGAGATTAGCCAAAAGACCGCCAGAATTTGATTGGTTCGTCGCTTTGAGAATACAGAACTGCAACAATTAATGTAGCTGGAAATAGGTGATACTTGGAATGACCTATTAGGTCCTTGGTATGAATGTTCGCTTTGAATGCAACTAAGAAAATGGCTCAAAGCAGCAGCACATCAAAAGCTCCTGCTAAGGATGTCCTTCTTCTAGTTTTGAATCCCTTCCACTAATTGCCTTGATTAGCTTGTCTGAGAATGTGAGGAAGTGCTGCAACATCCTGGCCGCTTGAAGTCTGCCGTCATTTTTGCGTGTTGGATCTCATCCTGAAGGAAGTTCCCACGGGTTGGAACGTACAGCAGACAGATGAAGTGATATCATACGGTGATATCAAATGGCAGAAATGCAAAAGTTTAGCTTCTCATTTTTTTGGGTGACTTGTGAGTACATTCTGGCAGTGCATGAGAAAGTCAGGTTGAGTGGACGCACCTCGCCGTAGCGACGATGCTATCCAAAAAGTACAGCTCAAGATATGATATAAGGAACAGTTGCGACTTTAGTAGCGGCAACCCCGTTTTGGTAAAAAATAATCGGTCCAGGGGATCAAATCCTGGGTCGTGAGTCGCCCGGGCCAACCAAGCCTTCCATCCCTCCGGGGTCGGTTAATTGGTACCAGACTTGTCTGGGAGGATAAAAACACTGACTTGTACATCGGCTGGCCCCCGCAAGTCATTGTATAGGCCACATCGCATTCAAACGCCACTACGAATGTACAAATGGAAGTAGAATGCGTGCCGCATCCCAAAAAGGGATTGATCAACGGCAAATGCTTTATCCTTATCCTTTATTTTGTAAATGATCCTACTACATATAATTCGCTAAGTATGTGTGTGTGTCCGTGTGTCACGAGGTACATAGCTCGCTTCGTCGCAGACATGGACCGCTGCATTTTGAAGGACGAATCCACAAACTTGTTGTGCGACGAGTCTCCTGAGGATACTCGAGAACAAGTGATCAGTCGCGCGACTTCGAAGGACGAATTCACGATTAGAATGAAGGTCGAAGAAGGAGTAATTCACCTAGTTGAGGGACCCGCGGACCTCCTAAGGGTGCGGACTGAAGCGCAATTGGCACCGAAGGAGTTGACCTCGGCGACCTATTAAGGCTCAATCTTGGCGCGGTGGGCCAGTGCACGCCCACCGATCATCTGATCACTCGCCGCAGGTCTATACGTGGCGAGTGATTAGATAGGTGAGAGAGCGTGTTGAAGAAGAGGGCACAGCGATGAGAGTCGCATCAATGCTCAAATCAACGGGCAAGGAAGGGGTCCCATTTCTCGGGTTCTGGGCCGTTTCTCATGGTTCTTCCTTCTTTCGTGTACCACTCACCATCCCTAGGTTAATTTGAAATGGGTTGCTTTTTCATCGTGAATTCGTCCTTTAAGTATGAGGGTATGGAACAGGAACATATTTGGTGGGGGTCAAAAAGTGATAACGACTGATAAGAGCTGATAAGAGGCGCTGAACGCAAATTTCACGAAATTCATAGCGCGCGTCCCAGCAGCAGTGGGGCGTTGGTTCCAAGAAGTGATGTACAGGGTGGGACGGGAACATATTTGGTGGGGGTCAGAAAGTGATAACGACTGATAAGATTGATAAGAGGCGCTAGAAACGCAAATTTCACGAAATTCATAGCGCGCGTCCCAGCAGCAGTGAGGCGTTGGTTCCAACAAGTGATGTGGAGGGTGGGACGGGAACATATTTGGTGGGGGACCGAATATGATAACAGCTGATAAGGGGCGCTAAAACGCAAGTACCATCGAATGAATAGCGCGTATCCCAGCAGCAGTCAGGCGCCGTCTCCAACAAGTTATGTGGAGGGTGGGAACATATTTGGTGGTGGACCGAGAATGATAATAGTTGATAAGCGCTGATAATAACGATGTAAGCAAGAACATTAGGTCGCTTCAAACCTAATACCAGATAAGAATCACTACTCCATTTCATTTTTATTTCATTTGCGTTCCATCGTCAGCACCATACTCCTTCGACCGCTACTTTGCCTAAATTTCCTGCGAATGTGTGTAGAGCCTGTCTGAAGAAATGCGATAATGATCAACGAGCATGTTTCAACATCTCTATTGAATGCTACACTGGAGTTAATTCTTTAAGTGCAAGTGTATGGATTGTCGTCAAAAAATCAAGATGTGGAGAGGCGAACTTAGTGAACCTAATGAAAATGCAAGGTTCAGACTTGGTAATACCGCACTTGTACAGCATTGGTGATGTGATAGCTAGGAATCGGTTGATAGCGATTTGTAGCTGGCCATATATAGAAGCATTCCAAAATATCGTACAGAGCTGACCCATTCTCCTAGCGAAATAGGATTGACTTATCGTTTCTGAGAAGCCTCTGAAACGTCGTGAAAGAAGTCGCATTAATGTTGTGATTTCGCATGGATTCCAGTACAGATATTTTGCTGAAAGGCTTCCACTAATTCTGTTATTGTTGAAGGCAAGCTCCGGGATAAAATTGGCGTAGAAGTGCGTTCACTAATAAAAGCCGAAAAAAAACTTCTACAGAACTAGCTGCAGTTGTTCCAGTGTCAAGGCAATGAGCCGCAATGCAACCGCTGCCGCAATCGCGCCAGCGCTTTTCTCGCAACATCACGTGAATGCCTACAGTGGAAGGCGTGGCTTTACAAAGATGTGGATTGGGGGATAGACGAGCTTCTAGCGCCTTTCTTACGCACTATCGGGTCACAAAGGAGACGCAACATCAACTCTTGCCCGCCTAGCATGAAGCCTCAAGGATGGAACAGGTGAACCTGCATCTTGGAGCTTGCCTTTAGGTGAACATTATCCACTCAATAGAGTAATATAGCAAAACTCACAGTAATGCGAACTGGAGCGATCCAGAAAGAAAATACTATGAGTACTCCCGCATCAGCAAGCAGATGTGAGGCACAAATAAAACCGAAAGCATTATGTAACGTCGGTGTGCGATATATCAGCACTATAGCCGAAATACTCGACACAGTACCGATCAAACCTACCTAAAAATTAACTTGTTGAAATTAATCCAGAGCGTAGTCGTTGGGATTGCAACAATGTGGAACTCTCAGAAAATAATGAAGGCTTTACCCTACTTTCACAGCAGTTTGTTTTTTTGGTGGTTGCTGGCAAGTAGCACGTTTTAACATTGCTTGCCTACAATCTGAATGAACGAAGTGCAGTTAAAAACTTAACGATAACAGGATTGATCCAGCAACAACTTGATATGATCGATCTTCAACTGCTGCAACCGACATTGAGGGCTAAATTACCTTGAAAACAATTTCTTCACACTGTAATGGTATCACTTCATCCGAGCATTGCACGAATCCAATTTACTGTGAACGGTGTGAACAACAACGGAGCTATCGACTTGGCAGTGATCTAGCAGAATGCAATAGTAGGAGCAGCGGACCACAGGTAATACCTGGCGACAGGTGATACCTCGAGCGAAGTATTTTTACGCCACCTTTGCACACAAAAATCCAGAATGAAAATGGGACTACTGTATCAGGAATGTGCGGTGGGCTCTTTCCTCGCGGAAACAAAATTCGACATCAGCATTATCCTTCCTGAGAGTCATTTCCCATGCCCATTGTCAAAAATGCTTCAAAGGCAGCGATTACGATAGGTTCAAGAAGGGTTTAGAGGAGACGTGGTGGTGCTCAATGGTACGCCAGTGGCGAAAAAAGCAGAGAAATCCGTCAAGAAAACGCAAAACGGGACCCCTTTTTTGGCCGTTGGTTTTCACTCATGAACAGGTAACAGCTCAGAAAGCGGACGTATGAACGAGTTCAGCGCAACGCGTTTGGTGGCACATGCCAAACCACGCTCCAATCGAGTTGCTCCAGTTGTGCTGCGCAGCTCGTCCAAATCACCAACTAACTAGTGGGCGGATCGCTTTTGGGGGCGGAGTGCTTTCGAAGTCCTGCTCAGCAACCAGCGCACCTTTCGTCGTGAAAGCGCCACACTCGCTTCCTTGGCAGCCAAGTAACTGCTTCGTGTGTGTGCATGTGCTGGTGCGTATGCTTCCCTCTCGATTGTAGTCGCTTCCTTCAAGCCAGGGCTATTCTGCATCACTCTCCATAAGCAAGGAGACAGGATGAAAAGGGAAGACACAAGCTAAGAAGGGATATGAGTTCGAAAAATACCTTCCACTTTGTTTTAGCCCACTGATCTGAATGACAGGGAAAGGAAAATGACAATGTACAGCAATGAAAACTACCACTTTTTTCAGAAGAAGTTACTCTTTTGGTTTGAGCAGAACAAATGACAGTGGGCAGGTATCAGTAAGAGCAGATATAAGTAAGTAGTAAGAATGCACAACAAAATTCTCTACACCACCAATGTACGTAAAGCAGTCAACATGGTTTGAGTATCACATGTTCAACAGGTGATACTTTATATTCATTCAGATTTCATCTGCTAGAAAGCTTGCACGACTGTTTAACTATGCGAGCTTTCAAAAAAATGGTATCTTTTTGAAGGCATGACGGGTGTCTCTCAAGAGGCCCGTCGCGCGGCGAAGGAAGAGACGCAGACGCGGCAAAGGACGAGTCGCAGCGCATACTGTAGCGGTTAGGCGTCAATTTCAATAGAACGCATTACAGTACGTACAACACCATTCACTCCACGGCGTGGACTGATAAATTCGATATTTCCTTATTGACGCCGCTTTTTCTTTTTTTGCGCTACTACTTTTCTCCACATTCATTTGCCCCCAAACTGCTCGCTTGCCCCCAAACTGCTTGCTGCACTGCTTTGTTACGTCTCATCCCTTTCCTCACCATAAAGCATATCTGGGAGTAGATGCGGGGTTCACTGAAAATGAAAAAGAAGCAGTGCCTAGCCCAGCACTACAACGTCCTCGATATTTCGAAATGAGCACTATATATAATAGGTCACATCTAAAAAAGTAAATTCAGAAAAATACTAGCTTGGCTAAAAGCAGTTGAAGCGACCAAAATACCAACATGACGAACGATAGGCTTTATGGTGAGGAAATGGATGAGACGTAACAAAGACGAGCAGTATGGGGGCAATTGAATGTGGAGAAAAGTAATAGCGCAAAAAACAAGAAAAAGAAGGTGTACAAACAGACGTCGAATTTTGAGCCCACGGCGTGGAGTGAATGGTGGTATACGTACTGTGTAATTGTTTTCGAATAGTGAAAGAAGTTCTGTCTCTGCGCCAGAAGATCGTTGCGATGAGACAGACTATCCACTTCCTACGCCGCTGTCTACACTATCGTCTAACACCAAGCTTTATTACGAACAAGCGACTGTATGAGACGTGCGGAGTGCCGAAGGATTCCAGACGTATACATGCAATAGAACAACAACTTCTACGCACGGCATTGAAGACAAAACGTGATCAAATGTACTCATGTTTGAAGAAGTGTGTAGCTAAGGAGATGTGTTGTGAACGAATTGTACCGGAACGCCTTTGGCAGAGATTAGTGGGTGAGTCAAAGAACATTTGTGATTCTGTCCGCTCTAAGGCTAAGGCAAGACTGAAAGAAAAGTTCGATAGATTGGTAGACCAACAGCGGTGTCGTCGATCACAAGATATGACTACTGGTAACCTTAGTGACGAAGTCGTACCTCAAGTTAACAACGGTAGTGAGCACCTCCTTACCTCTCGAGTCACGGTTATTGGCGACATTCCCCTTTCTAGTGATGCGTTGTCGCTATTAGAGCTGGGCCCTAGCTTCGCTCCAGTTCAAAACATAAATCCAAACGGTAGTGCGCAAAATTGTTGGCAACCTGCAGCTGCTTCATGATCGCCTACGATACAGGGCCAATGCGATGCGGCGGGGGACAGCGGCGGCAGAAAGGCTAAATGGGGACATCCCTGCTTTGCCATTCCCACGTACGTTTTACAAGCCGCAGGAAAGTGAACCCATCGTAGACACCAAATTCCGGCTGTTTGCAACGTCCGTTTATAGAGTAGTGCGGCAATATGTCAACAAACACGTAAACTCTAATCTCACTCCATCACAGAGACGTGGCATCAAAGAAATACGGGATCGTTTGAAAGATGGCAGTGTCAGGTTGTCAGTTAGTGACAAAGGAGGAGAGTTCGTGGTGCTATCTCAAAGGCTACTTAATTGCATCTCAAAGACAACACGTTGTATTGCAGGTCAACAGAAAAAGAATTCAGTAGGCAGTACCGGAGACTCAACAAAGTCTGGAGTACTGTTGCGAAGAGTGCAGGCCTGCCTGTGTTTCCTCGAAAACAACGACCGCTAACTGCTGCGAAATGCAGTAGCTTGCGCTCTTAACACATTCACGACGACGCCCCTTTTCCACTTTTCGGTCGCGTGGGACGGACGCGATTTTGTGGGCGCCGCCGCCTCACCACATAACCGCAGATTTTGTTTTGTAAATGAACAAAAACATGAATGTCACAAAATAATTTCTGCAATGTCCAATGCAAATAGTGGTTACGAAAAGAGAATTTTATTCACTTTCCCTTCGAAGGAATCTAAAAGCATTTTACACTCTGTTACGAGGTTTGTCCACCTATTTGTCCATTCGGCGTGAATGTGTTAATGGAACGTACATTTTCACAAGACATGGAAGAAGAAGTAAATCAATGAAAGATACCAAGGAAACAGGAAATTGAATAGAAGTTTGTAATAGATGTGGGATTCGTCGCAGTATAGGTTTTGAAGTTTCACAGGAATAATTAGCCAAGTGAGGCTACTCGCTCTTGAAGGAATATGTAGCCCAATTTGGGCTAGACCTCGATTTCTGGTTGGATCTTAACATAGTGAGAGATAAAATGAACAACAACAACACCGCCTCGCGCCGCCCACTTGTTCCAGAAATCTGTCGTACTCATTCAAATCACTTTGCAGGGTTTGAATTGAATGCAAATGAGACTCATCAGCACAATATGTATCCAATTTTATAAGAAAACTCTTTGAACACAGCTTCTTACAATTTTCACGATAGAAAGAGTTCTGTCACAATAAAGTCTCACTGCCCAATTTCACCCAAACATCTGCCATCAGCCTATTCCCTGGCAACCGTCAGCACTGGTTTTGAATGTGACGCCTTTTGCTTCAATGAATATTCGCTCCAATGGGTTGGTGCACTAGAAACACTATTGGATTTATGACAATGAGGTGTAGGTTTGATCAACGTAGACAAGAGGTCCTGCAAAAAGCGAGATTGTAATAGAACTGAAACTGAACGAATGCTTAACAAGTTGTAGGAACAAACGTGATGTGGTTTTGATAAGTGCGATCTAGCTGGGAAATCCACACCGCCATATGTATTGAGAATTTTCTGGACAAACACTTGCGAATTTAAATTTCGAATAATTTTTGCATGAGGATTCATCATTGTCATATCCACGCAGATAGAAACGTATGAGGAAGCCTTCCAAGGAGGCATGGCTTTATTTAGGTTGATTGCCAACTGCAACTTTTTCTCATTCGCCTTTCCCTGGACCCGGAGATGGCTTAAGACAACGCGACTGACTTCGAAAACTATAGACAGTAAGTCGGAGGACAGTTTCTATAGTCTTGAAAATATTCCTTTCTGCTGATGCTTGTTCACCGTCGTTGCGTATGTGTACCACCTAGTCTAACTCTGCACGTTACCACGTACTTCGAAAGTATAGACTGCGTTTCCTTGGAAATCCGCTAAACCGCTTTATAAAAGAAGAGCGGTAAAACAACTGGGAAAAAGGGAACCACGCAGATATTAAATCTGCTTGGAGTTTCGCAAAATATCAATTTTGAAGGGAGTTGTGCTCGTTCAAGGGTTCACAACCTCCTCTCTTCGACGTGGGCACGAAAGCTGCCCGCTCCAAAGCTTGAGCCGTGAGGCAGCGAGCTGAGTCGCACTAAAAAAATATATTATATTCATTACACGAGGTAGAGCTCATGTGATGTGAGTTAAACATTACCGTGATACTAACTGACCAATGAATAAACGAAAAAAACTTCTATGTAGAAAAAAGGAAGACAAAAAAAATGGAACAAAAATAAACAAATGTTCATGAATACAACTACATATAACAGGAGGAGTAGTAGTGAGACCCCTGAGATTTCAAAAATTTCACGATCTTGGCTGGACTTGGTCTAGGTTGGGAAATTCTCAGGGGGATGGGGGGGGGGGAAAGGGAAAGGGGCAGGGAGGGGAAGAAGTGTGCGAAACTTTTGGAATCTGCCGCGACGATTTTCCCTGCGTGGTATAGAACACTTGCGGACACATACCTAAATGGTACACTGTTCGCACGCTGG